GAAAGAAAATTCTCATTTCGAAAGCTTTAAGTTGGAAGAATTGACTAAGATTTGGATTTTTGAGTAAACGGCCTCGAAATCGGGATTTGAAGGTTCCAGCAGGTTCGTATGATGATTTTGGATTTGGGCGTATGTTCGAATCGGGTTTTGGATACCCCGGGAACGTTTCAGCACCTATTGTGGAAGTTAGCATTTTGGAAGAATTCCATAAACTTGGGTTGAAGAGCATTTTAATGTTATCGATGTCCGTTTGGAATTCTGAGTTTGGGAATAGCTCCATATGGTGATTCCAGTATTGGGAGCGCGACCGGAAGTGGATTTGGAGGTTCGTAGGTCATTTTGGGGTCATTTGGCGAAAGTTGGAAGTTTGGATAATTTTGAGAAGTTTGACCGGGAGTGGACTTTTTGATATCGGAGTCAGAATTCGATTCCGGAAGTTGGAATAGGTACGTAATGTCAAATGTGACTTGTGTGCAAAATTTGAGATTAATCGGACGTGATTTGATAGGTTTCGGCATCGAATGTAGAAGTTTGAAATTCTAAAGTTCACTAAACTTGGAATGGGGTGCGATTCATGAATTCGACATTGTTTGATGTGATTTAAAGGGTCGACTAAGTTCGTAATGTGTTTTGGGACATGTTGGTATATTTGGTTGAGGTCCCGAGGGCCTCGGGTGGATTCCAGATGGTTAACGGATCGAGTTTGGACTTGGAAGAAAAGATGAGGCAGCTGATATCTGGTGTGATCGCACATGCGCAATAAGGGCCACAGGTGCGAGCCAATGGTCGCAGGTGCGGTTTAAGCGAAGCTGGGCAGTGACCGCAGGTGCGAAGGGTTGTCCGCACCTGCGAAGGTCGCAGATGCGGACGTGCGTCGCAAGTGCGAGAGTGAGAGAAGAATCTAGGAGCACAGGTGCGAGGGTATGCCCGCACCTGCGAAGGCGCAGATGCGGAAGGAAAGACGCAGGTGCAGAGTCGAGCTAGGCAAAGGGAATGCGCAGGTGCGAGGTTTTGGCCGCACCTGCGAGACCGCACATGCGACGAAGAGTCCGCAGGTGCGGAAGTCGGGGCTGGGCGGTGTCTCCTTTAAAGCGAGGGTTTGGCTCTATCTCATTTCATTTTCGCCCATGTGAGCCGATTTTGGAGCACATTGGAGTGCCATCTTCATCAATCATAATGGGGTAAGTGTTTTCTTCATAATTTTGAGTTAAATACATGAGTTTATATGGATTTGAACATGGAAATTAGTATAAAATGTGGGGTTTTGGTATAAAACCTAGAATTTGGTATTTTAGATTTTGGCCAATTATTTGGGCATGGAATTGGGAATAAATCTTATATTTGAGTTCATAAGGTTATGGGTAATGATTATCTACGAAATTTTTCGGAATCCGGGCACGTGGGCCCGAGGGTGATTTTATCGACTTTTCGATCGGGTTTAGAAATTGCTATAAATTGGATTATAATAAGTATTCGAGTGTATATTAATGGTTTTGCATAATAATTGGCTAGTTTTGGAGCGTTGTGCATCGATTCGAGTTATTTGAAGGACTCGGAAGCCGGTTATGGAACTATGGAGCGAGGTAAGTCTCATTTCTAACCTTGTAAGGGAGAATTAACCCCATAGGTGAACTAAATTACTGTGTGCTTCTATTTGTGGGGGATACGTACGCACAAGGTGACGAAAGTCCGTACGTAGCTACTAGCTATGCCTACGTCCGAGTAGTTTTAGGCTCACATCATGCCTTGTTGATATTGTTATTGATTTATGTTTATTGTTTGCCTTGAGAGGGAGTGAGATTGAGTCTGCTTATTAAATGTTTTGAAAGGAGTTGAAATTGAAGAACTTAAGATTTAAAAGGTTTCATTTGAACTTCGTAATTTCGAAAAGAATTGAGGAACAATATAATAGCTGAATAAATCTATGTGTAACCGCGTCGCATGTATATTTCGCGAGCGGTGTAATTTTCTTAAAAAGGTACAAGCTGAATTTCCCTTATTTTGAAAAGAATCAATAAAGAGATATGATTTTAATGTTAAATTTATATTTGACTACGTCGCAAGTATGATCCGCGAGCGGGGTGATTCCTTAAATTTATATTTAACCACGTCGCATGTATGATTTGCGAGCGGGGTATTTCTTACTACTCTCATGGGAGCGGGTCTTTCGCCTCGGCAGATTAAATAGATGCATCTATGGTTCGCGCCATTCGACCCTCTGGCAGTGCACATTTTAAATATTTGTTGGATCGGGCCGTACGACCTCGGCATGATTTGCGCATGCTTGTATTACTTGCCTTGAAATTTATAAATAATGATATTGCCTCCCTGGTGTGAGATAAATTGATAAATGATGAAATGTGAATTTGGAAACATCTTATTAACAAAGGAATTGTTTACTTGATTCATGATTTTCTTGAGTTTGCTGCCGTTTTTAATAAATCCAAGACTAATTATATTATTGATGACCACAGTAAGTGTCGAAGTCAACCCCTCGTCACTACTTCTTCGAGGTTAGGCAGGATACTTACTGGGTACATGTTGATTTACATACTCATACTACACTTGCAGGTACATATGTGACTAGTGGCCTTGTGGGCGCATAGGCGCGGTTATTATGGGGATTTAGGTGAGCTGCATCTTATGTACGACCCGCAGCCAGCAGAGTCTCATTCAGAGTATTGTACTTTCTTTCCTGTCCAAATTTGTATTCCAGACAGTTATTGTATTTTATTTTAAACTCCTAGAAAATGCTCATGCACTTGTGACACCGGGTTCTTGGATGATTATGAGATGTTCAATATTGAAATTTGGAAAACATGGTTATTATTCTATAAATTCATCTTTTACTAGATAAATTGTAGTAAATTTACGATTTCAAAAATATTAAAATGAGAATTTAATTAACTCTTTAGTGTTGGCTTGCCTGACAGTGGTGTCCGGCGCCATTACGACCTTTAACGGATTTTGGGTTGTGACAGCTTTCGCGAATATTTTAGAAACTCAATAAGTTTCTTTGAGACTTACTACAACACAATACCTTAGTGATAATAAACTTTATCTCTCCAAAATAGTATAATTGGCTCTTCCAGAGCTCTCAACTAATTTTGTACTATCACATATTCATCATCATCCATGTGGTGAATATCTCTTTCAAGGAGAAAGTTATACCATTATGGTCATGGTCAAAATCATTATAGACAAGATATGTTGCTTCCATTACTTTTGCCTTGTAATAGTCACATTGTCATTATATTTTGGTAGAATCACGATAGGTACGTGGTCAATAATCATTCATGCCATAATAATGAAATTATTTTTTTATTTCATCTCAAACCTCCTTCTAGCGGTGAGTGTGGTATATTCACTACCACTAGCACGTTTATATTCTTTCAAAAATGAATATGTATTTATAAATCAGATGTTGTCACACTCACACCATGAATTAATCATCTATATGTGCTTTACAAAATCTCATACCAAATCAATGACAAATATTATTTTCATAAAGTGAAAGATTATTTTGAGAATCATTATTATTCTCATTACCACAATGATGACGAGTATAATTTCGTTTATTGCCACGTCCACATCCATTGATACTTTCACAGTAATAATTTTATCTTCTTTCAGACTTATTACATATTGCTACCATATTCTCTTAAGGGAGTGAGAATGAAGCAAATTCAATGGGATGAGTTTTTACTTCTTTGCCCACAATCATACATGAATTTGATCATGGTAAGGCATAGAAATTTTACCACTTCGAGTGGTTATAATTTCTTACAAACTCCATTAGAGTTATAATCAAAATTTATTGTATTTGCTTGTATTTTAAAATTAAATTATACAATGTCAAGAATTTAAAAGAGAAGAATAAGGTAAAATACTTACCTTAAATCCAGAATTTATTCCTGAAGGAAGGTCATGGAACAATTGGCAATCATGATGCTCAATCTTATGTGCAAGTTTAGCACAATGCACGTATCACAAAGCCTGGTGACCAAAGCATATGCCTCTACTCAATTGGTTAGAGTTTCGTGTTGATAACGTGTTATAAAACAATAAAAGAAGAAAAGAGTATTGTAGAGAAAAGTATAGAGAGAGAATTCTTATTGATTTGGGATGAATTGCAATGGAATAGAACCTCTCTATTTATAGGAAAAAAGTGACTTAGCCACCAAATAACAAACCCTAAAATCTCTCTAAAATATAGACATTCACCGTAAATAAAATACTATTTATAACAGGATTAACGTACTCCCTCTATTCTCATTTAATTGTCGGCTTTACACACCTTTTAGAAAATATTCATAAGGAGGGTAATTTGGCTAATCTATCCTAGACCCTAGTACTTTTTTAATTTTGAAACCACATTAATCTATTTTCAATAAATAAGTGTACTCTACTTATGTGCTTCGTAATTCTAGAACAACTACCAACAAGAGTGTGGTGAAGTGGTAAGTACTCCTTCATCTTTAATCAGAGGTCTCGGGTTCGAGCCCTGGGTATGTAGTCGCCTTTGTTAGGGAGCGCTTTACCCTCCAATGTTGGACTTCCAGACGCGAATCCGGATTTAGTCGGGCCCCAATGCGGGTACCGGACACCAGGTGAGAAACTAAAAAAAATTCTAGAACAACTAATGATAAGAGTAAAATTGAAAAAATTATAATTCTTTTTTAAATTTTTTAAAATAACAAGTATCTGGGAATAACTATTTTAAGTAAACATGACGACTAAATAGAAATATTGGGGGTATTTATTATTCTTTACTAGTCTCTGGGTACGTGCTTTACTAGTGTATTCTAATTTAATGAATATATAATTTTAAAAAAATTATTTAACTAATGTATTTGTGTTTGAGTTTAAAATAAAAATCATAGAGAAAAAGTGTAACTTTTTGAAAATGATAAATGTTAGTCTTATTTAGTTAGCTCACCAAAGAAAAATATGATTACTCGTGCAGCGCACGGGCTGTTAAGATATCTCAAAAATTTAACTTGGTAGAGCAAAACTTCTAAAGTTGGTTGTAAAGCAAAACAAAATAAAGTACAACACTGATTCAGCAAGTCAAATATAACTCCGCATCTCCTCCAGCCAGTACAATAGATGCATATGTACATACATTATTTATTTCTCATATAATTTGGCAGAAAAGGAGTGCTCATCTTCTAACTTGCTTTAGTACCTAGCTAAATAAAAAAAATCAGGCTCAAATTTAGCAATCACCATAACTTAAGCAATATCCCGGTTTTGCTTGGGAAACTTGATCCAAGATCCATCAGTCCTAATGTGAGCTTTCTTGCATGCAGTGTCACAGAATACTCTTATTCATCTGCCGCCAACTAATAGGTTGTGGTTGTCTCTGCAAAATGTTCTCGATTCTCCTACTTGAGTTTCTGTTCAAATGTTGTAATAGGCCCATTGAGCATTCCGCTATTCTTAATTAATAAAGAAATAAGCACTTGACAAATTGTTCGGAACTATGTAATTAGGAGGTAAAGAATAGAAAGTAAATGAAGGAAAATGAACAAGATACTATGAGATAACTAACAATATAATTTAATTACACCGACTTACACTTTCATCTATAACACCCAAATCCCATTGTTATGACCTGGTATTACCATTTCAAATTATTAAACAGCTAAAGTTTGAAGAAGGGAATAACAAACTACAATTAATACTCTATACAACTTCTACATTTCTACTGCTTCATTTAATATTTAATATTTGGAGACAACATGCCACTACCTCAACCTATAGAGACACTCTAACACACCTCTGCCATACCCCCTACCTCCACATCCAGGCTGCGCATCCTAGACTATGGGTCCGGTTATAATACCATGTCAAAACGGATCTTCAACCGCAAATCTAACTCAAGAGGTGAAGATTGTTTAATAAAATCGAAGGAGACAACACTGTACACTCTTAACAAACATGGGGAACTCAAACATGTAGAGAGCTACCATAAGCTTGCATTAAAAAAATATCACAAATACTGAAATATGGTACATTAGACATTAAAAGAGAAAGTTTACCTACAAAGTTGTAAAGTCCTAATGAGAGGATCTTCATGAAATACAGGAGATCAAAGTATGAAAATGAAAATACTAACCAGAGGTTAAAAATTAGGAGAAAGCAAAAGAGAGCAAAGAAGTCCACCAGTATACAAACAAATAGAAGTATTCATAAAATGCATTAAACTTGGAAATCAGGACTTCAACATCAAAAGGGAGCAAACTTAGAATAGATCAGATGGCTATACCAGAACAATTTCAATTGCATCTACATATTCCACAAATATATCAATATCATATAACAAGTTTGGCCAATATCATCAGCGAATTCCAAATTCATTAAAATTGCTATCAAAAGTTCTAAATACAGCAAAAGAACAAGTTGGGCAACTAAAGGAAAAACCGGCCCTGAAAAAGTGGCAATAATAAATTTTCCAGCAGTGCATGTCATAGCTAAAATCGTACAACTCAGAAGCTCTTGTGCAACAGAACCCAAATCTAACACTATGATTTTAGTTGTTTTAGGTAAAGACAGACTCCGTCAAACACTTTATGATCAACAGTGGTAATTCCTAATCTTACAAACAGATTTAGAAAGAGAACTGGATTATATCTTACATCATAGGACGTGCTATTACACTTCACTACTGGTGCGGCATATCTACAAACATGAGGTTTACCAACTATATTTAGTTTTCAGTTTTTTAAACACAAGTTCATGTAGAATTGAATGTTCTTTTGCAATGACTAAAAACAGAATACGCATGTGCAGATGCAGTTAAGAAACCACTTACATAACCAAGAGACCAGCAGTTGAATGTAATTTGATTCAAACATGAATATTTCTTCACAATCGAAACTATAATTAAATCAATTACACCCGCTAACATCATCTGGTTCAGCAGATGGAACATTAACTTTAAGGAGGCAATAGCCAAATCAGTCTAATAATTCATCTTAACCAATAACCATTTGGCACCAAACTGGCATAAAACAGTCAATGAAAATAAGCATGTGCAAAATCAGTTTAAAAGAATAGCTAAAGAACTCAAGAAATTCTACAATTGCCTTCAACAAAATTTATTTTTTTCTATGGAGAACGAAGGAGAAAGGGCAAAATCTCTAGAACAATACCTCATTACAGACTGCTCTAATCACTAAAACGTCACGACCTCTCAGAGAACTTTCTTTGACACAATCTGAAGAGAACCAAGAAATTTAGACATGCATAAGTAGAATCAATTAAGAAAAGAGCTAAAGAACAGGTAGTTCTAGAATAGCCATCAGAAATTTCTATATCTTCTACGCGGCAAATAGAATACGGAATATATGGAATTCGAAAAGGGCAGAGGAAAAATTTCAGGAAAAACAATCAGAAGCCAGGAAGAAGAAGATGTAAGAGAGGGAGAAAGAGCACTTTGGGAAACTACAACGCATGATTCTAGAAAATATGGATACTAAGAAAGAAGAGAAGATTCAAAACACGTCGTCCAAAAAGTATACGTGTTGAAAACCAATTTGGAAAAAAACAGCCCTCACTATGCATCGTACAACAGCTCGATGTTGGTATCTAATGACGATTTTGTCCTTGGACGACCAAATTGTGCATTTCAAAGCTCAAACTCCAGATTTTATTGGACCATCATCCACAATATCTTGAACCTCACTATATCCAATCCCATAACACAAGAATAAAATCTATCATCAAGTTTTTAATTATGGCATAACCAAAATTATGAGACAAGCATGCTCTGGATTACTGAAATTTCAAAAATCACCAAAAATCACATTTCTAAACTTTCAAAATTATTTTTTGAGCCTTGGGGTATGACATCACCACTTTGTAGAGTTGTATAGCTCATTCATGACTTCAAAAATAAAGCGATATTTAGGTATAATATGTTATACCTAAACCATCTCCACATACCTCGCACCTGCGATGACCCCACCGCATCTGCGTGACTGCACTTGCGGCCACACCCTCCGCAGGTGCGAAGACACCAGACTTCAGCAGCAACAGCAACTCCCCAATTCCAAGTTCCAATCTGTTTTTGATCCGAATCTCACCTGAGGCTCTCGGAACTCCGTCCGAACATACCAACAAGTTCGTAAACATAAAACGGACTTGCTCGAACCCTCGGAATGCGTAAAACAATATCAAAACTAAGAATTGCACCCCAAAACCAAATCAAATCAACTTATGAACTTCAAGTTCTTCTAACTTACTCCGAACGCGTCAAATCATACTTAAACTACTTGGAATGACACCAAATTTTGCGTGCAAGTCATAAATCACCATATGGAACTATTCCTAGGCTCAGAATCTCAAACGGACCTCGATAACACCAAAACCTAATCCAAACCAAACTTAAAGAACTTGAAAACCTTCAATGCGCCAACTTCCAATATTAAGCGCCGAAACACTCCAGGGTCATCCGAAACCCGATTCGAACATACGCCCAAGTCCAAAAATCATACGAACCTATTGAGACCGTCAAATTCCGGTTCCGAGGTCGTTTACTCAAAACGTTGACTCAAGTCAAACTTAACCATTATAGGCTACTATTAAGGAACTAAGTATTCCGATTCTAACCCGAACCCTTCCAAACCTAAACCAACCATCCCGCAGGTAATAAAACAGTAAAAGCACATACGAGGGGTCTTAATTAGGGGAACGATGATCTAGAAAGCAAAATGATTGGTCGGGTCATTACATTCTCCACCTCTTAAACAAACGTTCGTCCTCGAACGGGTCTAAAATCATACATGAAGTGCTGAAAATGTGCGAATAGCTGCTCCTCATGTCCTCCTCTGCTTCTCAAGTCGTTTCCTCGACTGGTTGACCCCTCCGCTGGACCTGCACTGCAACAATTTTCTTGGACCTAAACTGGCGAACCTGCCTGTCAATAATGGCAACTGGCTCCTCTTCATAACCCAAACTCTCATCTAGTTGAACCGTGCTGTAATCTAGCACGTGCGACGTGTCGGCATGATACCTCCGGAGCATAGACACATGGACGACCAGATGAACTCCTGATAGACTGGGAGGCAAAGCAAGCTCATAAGAAACCTCCCCAACTCGCCTCAACACCTTAAATGGGCCAATAAAACTTGGGCTCAGCTTGCCCTTCTTCCCAAATCTCATAGTCCCCTTTATCGGCGAAACTTTCAAGAGATCCTTCTCGTCCACCATAAATGATAAATCACGCGCTTTCTGATCCGCGTAACTCTTCTGTCTGGAATGTGCTGTACGAAGTCGCTCCTGAATCAACTTTACCTTTTCCAAGGCATCCTTCACTAAATCAGTACCATATAACTTAGCCTCGCCGAGCTCAAACCATCCGATGGGCAAACGGCATCGCCGACCATATAAAGCCTCAAATGGAGCCATCTCGATGCTGGACTGATAATTGTTGTTGTAAGCAAACTCGGCCAAAGGCAAGAATCTATCCCACTGACCTCCGAAGTCAATGACACATGCTCTGAGCATATCCTCCAAAATCTGAACTGCCCGTCGGTCTGCGGATAAAAAGCTGTGCTGAGCTCTATCCGGGTACCTAACTCACTATGTACTGCTCTCCAGAAATGCGAAGTAAACTGAGGGCCTCTATCTGATATGATGGAAACAAGCACACCATGCAACAGTACAATCCCCTGAATGTAAATAATCTGAGCCAACCTCTCTAAAGAGTAAGTAGTCACCACCGGAATAAAATGTGCCGAATTGGTCAACCTGTCAATAATGACCCAAACGACATCAAACGTCCTCAACGTCCGCGGCAACCCAAAAATGAAGTCCATAGTGATGCACTTCCACTTCCATTTTGACTCATAGAACCTATGAATCTAGGACTATGATATCAACTTGTCACGACCCAAGATCCCGCCTTAGGCGTCGTGATAGTCTCTAAGACTAGGGTAGTGGTGAGGTATAAGTCAAGACACCTATTAGATATAATAACCTGTGCAGAATATCAGTATAAAGGTAATAATGGAATCAAGAAACAATAATAAACACGTGGTAAAGCAGTAAAGTAATCAGAACACCGTTTAAGTACCAGCAAAACCAAATAAGGAAAACAAATGACAACCAAATAGTCAATCCGTTCTAACACAAGTTCACAACAAAGTTACTCCGAGATACCTCATCTCATAATCACAAGTCACACAACCCAAATCACCAATCACCTGCTCGTGGCACCTCGTCCACACTATAAGTCACTACCGCACAGACAACTCACGTGCAAATACCTTAGTCCGCCCGGCATGGTCACAAGCTCACTATAATAATCCGCCCAGCGTGGTCACAGGTTCACTATCACAATCCACCCCGGGTGGTCACATGATCAATATCACAATGAAAGCAGATATACAAGAATACATCTGCGGGATCAACGAATGTCAAATTTCATACTCCTGAACTGGTATAACTAGCATGCTGCGATGTATACATGTGCGAGTGTACTTTTACAGTCTAAGTTAGGAAGTAATATCAAAGACATCGAGTAGCTCATTGAAAACAACACAACAAGTCCCGTAAGGTGTATGGCACACACGAGAAAATCATACCATCACACGAATATCATCAACATTTTGCCTCCAGGCCGTCGCATATCATCTCTGACATAGCCACCCTTATCTCTCCGTATTGACAATATCATAATAGCCACCCGTATCGCTCCGCCCCATCAATAACAGTGAGATGCCACCCTTATACTTTGCATAGCAAAAATCAAACCACACAACAAATTCACATGTGCTAACATCACAACAACTCGACATATAAACTCGTACCAGAAGTGCCCATAGGCCACAACCTTTCCAAAAATACAATCCCATTATCACCAACACAAAGCCCCCTGCTCAACCACGATGTGTTCAAGAATTTCAATAGCAACAAAATAAAATAGGGAAGATAACTCAAAAATGAAAAATACTCCATTAAACAATAACATCAATTAAAACATGTTAGTGGCTTTTAATAACATCAACTTCAATTAATTTCTTAAGAATAAACTCAATAATGAAGGCATTTTCATGAAATGACAACTTCAAATTCTAGTGTACAACATAAGCTATCAATTGAGATATGGCATGAAATAGAAACTATGTCTAAGTGCATGAGAAATACTCAACAACGAAGGAATATCATGTAATAACAACTTCAAATAAGAATTATTCAACAATAAAAGAGGTAACAACTTCAAATAAGCATATACGGGTAAACTTAACATGGAGGATGCAACATGCTATGACAACTTCTATTAATGCATGAAAGAAGCCTAGGAGTCAAACCGATCAAATACCAGATATAAGTCCGAGCACGCACTTGTCACCTCACGTACACGTTTGTCACATAATTCAAATAATACAATCAACCCAAATCCTAAGGGGTAGTTCTATCACACAAAGTTAGACAAGATACTTTCCTCAAAGAAGCTAAATCAATACTCTAAAAAGCCCTTCCCATGTCAAAACAACCTCCGAATGGACAGAATATAGCCAGAATAACTTAATATCATAAATAAAAGCCATAAAAAATAATTTAGGATAATAAAGCTTCGATATTTAATGAAAACCAAAAAGTCAACCCTGGGCCCGCACCTTGGAAGTAATATCAAAGACATCAAGTAGCTCATTGAAAACAACACAACAAGTCCCGTAAGGTGTATGACACACATAAGGAAATCATACCATCACACGAATATCATCAATGTTACGCCCCCAAGCTGTCGCATATCTTCCCTGGAATAGCCACCCTTATCTCTCCATATTGACAATATCATAATAGCTACCCGTATCGCTCCGTCCCATCAATAATAGTGAGATGCCACCCTCATGCTCCGCATAGCAATAATCAAACCACAAAACAAATCCACATGTGCTAACATCACAATAACTCGACATATCAACTCGTACCACGAGTGCCCATAGCCATAACCTTTCCAAATTAACAAATACCGATATCACCACATCACATAGCCCGCGGCTCAACCACGTTGTGTACAAGAATCTGAATAGCAACAAAATGAAATGGGAAAAATAACTCAACAATGAAAACTACTCCATTAAACAACAACTTCAACTAAAACAGGTTATTGGCTTTCAATAACTTCAACTTCAATTAATTGCTTAAGAATAAACTCAATAATGAAGGTATTTCCATAAAATGACAACTTCAAATTCTAGTGTACAACATAAGCTAACAATGAAAGATATGACATGAAATAGCAACTACGTCTAAATGCATGAGAATAACTCAACAACGAAGGGATATCATGTAATAACAACTTCAAATAAGAATTATTCAACAATAAAAGAGGTAAAAACCTCAAATAAGCATATAAGGGTAAACTTAACATGGAGGATGTAGCATGCTACTACAACTTTGATTAATGCATGAAAGAAGCCTAGGAGTCTAACCTGTGAAATACCACATATAAGCACGAGTACGCACTCGTCACATCACATACACGTCTTTCACAT